TTAGCAGCCGGTGCATTATTGGTGTTACAACTGTTCATCTTGTTGATGTTGTTGCATTCTTGAGTTTCCTTCTCTGCTGCAACTGCTTCTTTCCTAGCAGCTGTCTTAGGTTGTTGTCCAGACTCCGCATTAAACATCCAGTTAGGCTTGGAAAACACAGCATTCTCGGTGTCCGAAAATCCCCTCTTATTTCCAGACACGACAACATTCTTGGAAGGAGCCAAAGGGAATAACTGCTTCTCGTCAAGATTCTTAACCGAGCTTCGCTCGGGAGATTGAGACCCCGGAAGGCCAAGCCTCAGTTCTGTGGCTTTAAGGTTAAGATTGGCCTTTCCTTCGCTCGAGACAGTTGAGCTGTCAACAGATGAGCTGTCAGACAGTCCTAGGTAGTTGCGCTCTTTGAGGCCGAGGGCATTTTGGGTAATACAGTCGGTGGAAGATGAGGAAGCCATTATAGGTGAAGCATTGAACTGGGTTTGCCCCTCGATTGCCGATAATGGTGGTGTCATCAATCAAGGTTGGTATTGAATAATGCCTGTGAGGGATCTACAAAGTGAAAAAAGAAAACAGTATCTAAATAAGCTCTTATTCTGAGGATAGCTTATGCTAAATCACATGTAAGATGAAGCATAAATGACAAACTTGTTAGATCTGGGTTAAATGATATAAAGTTTCGAAAACACCGCTAGCTTTAGAAAAATTTCGATAATCTGAGGAACAAGAGTAGATTAATAAAAAAAAAATCTTCTTCGTTAAAAAGTAAGGATGAATTTAATCCACAGGATGTGAAAAGTAAAGAATAGAATTTTTTTCTTTTTTGACAAATAAAGAAATAAAAAAAAAAAACTACTAAGTCAATGCAAAACAAGAGGAGTGGGGAAGAACAAACAGATGCACATGAGTCTTATATCAGAAGAAACTAAACAAAACTTAAAAATGAAAAAAGAAGGTTAACTATTATATTCTTTAGACAACACACTATACAAAGCAGGAAGGTAAAAAACTAAGTAGCACGAGACACATTTTTTACATTAATATCAGAAGTTTCAACGGTTGCATGGGGTAATTGACAAATAACACAAAAGCGGTAACAAGTTCATCTTAATTTTTACAAGATGGTTACAATTACGCGAAACAACTATATAAATTGGAAAAAAGAAATAACTTAGATGAATGGGAAATATAACAAATAAAAATAAAAATAAACGATTTAAGTGTTGAGGAGAAAGGGATTGTCAAACAAGACCCAGCTACAAGCAAACACTCAAGCTTAAATAAAGTTCGAAAAAAAACAAGTAAAAAATGCAAAAAAAAAGGAAGAAGAAGATGAAGAAATTACGAGATCTAACTGCCATTGCAAAGAGAGAGTTCAAAAGCACAAATTTAACTCGCGATATACGAAAAATAAGAGAGAAAAATCAACACAAAGGAAAATATTCGAATCCACAGAAACATACTTGAAGGTCAACTATCAACGGCAGCTGCAAAGGAAGAGCTTGTGAAGAAGATGAGTTGCAGGAATCTTGAGTACAAACTGCAGGAAAAAGGACACAAGCGCAAAGGAGAGAGATTTTTTTTTTTTTAAGGACNAAAGCTAGAGAGAGAAAGTGAGAGTGAGCGTTTTTTTTGTTATTGTTTTTTTTGTCCGAGAAACTCGAAGCTCGGGACGAGTGAAAAAACAAATTAATATAATGACAAAAGGAGGGGCAAAACGGGTAATTCCGCCGAAGAAAGATTTTAGTTTCTCATCGACGGATGAGATTGTTTGGCCCAACCCGATCACGGCCGTTGATGCGCGGCAGAGAAAATATAATTACCTGTCACCCCTGCAGGTTGGTAAATGATGACAGCCAATTATGCCTTTTTACAGTTTCGTGAAGGACAGCGTTAAGAAAAACTTCTGGTAGTGCTGAAATGACGAGTGTACCCCTGAATAGCTTTGCGCTGACAAATCCTCCCTTGTTCTATTTGACCTTTTTCCTTTTTTTAAGGGTTTAATGTTAAATCTTCTCCTATGTATTTTAAAAATTCCGTCAGACCCTTCTATTAAAGTTTTAAATGCACACTTGTCTCTATTTTTCCATTAATTCCTTCAAAAGTTTCATTATACCCTCTGAATATTATACATATATTTACAATATATTGAATATATCGCGAGAAATTTAATAAAAAAAAATTACAACCCTTAAGACTTGAACCTAGCACCTCATGGAAGCAAGTCAAGCAATGCAACCACTACACACCTCATGGAACCAAGACAAGCAATGCAACCACTACACAATTCAAGGTTGAGTTTTAGAACTAGGAATGTTTGATATATATGGACATTGTTATGGATAAGTGAAATTAAATTTAGAATATATAAATTATATTACATTAAATTATTAAAATATAAAGTTATGATAATTCAAATATAATAAACTAAATTATATAAAATTAAACAAAAAAAATAATTTAAATAATTTATTAAAATAAAGGAAAAAAATAAAATATAATATAATAATTGTAGTATAAAAAATAATATAGCTATTTAATAAAAAATAATAACTAATATAATAATTAAGTAAATCTATATATTTATAAGATTTTAAAAAATATTAAATAGCATAAAAATAATTAAAATAAATAAATACAAATCATATATAGCTATTTAATAAAAAAAATTTTATTTTCGAAATTATACTTTAATAATATATTATATATATAAGTATCATTTAATTTTATTACAAATTTAATTTAATTTAATTTATCATTTAATTTTATTATAAATTTAATTATTTAAATTAATCATTTAATTTTATTATAAATTATATTTAATATAATTTATACAGATTATATTACGTCAATTCATTAAAACGTATATTGAAATTTTATACTACAATTTATTTTACATTTATATTATTAATTTATTAAAATGAAATTATCATTTTGTTTTTATATTAAATAGTAATATATTTATTAAGAGTAAATCATATTAAAATTATTTGATAAATAATATTTTTTATTATATTATATTATATTAATTTCAGTTCTTTATTTATTTAATTTATTATTTCATAATAAGATATTTGATTTATTATTTATTTTACTTTATAATTTTTATACTTTATTATCTTATATAATTATTATTTTTATTTTTCTTTAATTAGTTTATTTTAATTTTATTTATTTATTAATTTCATTTTTGTATTTATTTTTCTCATTTAAAATTTATTTAATTATAACTTTATTTAATTTTAGTTCACGCTAATACATTAAATTTTATCTTACTTTATTTTAATTTAAATTTTTTCATTATTTTAAGTTAATTTAATTTATTGGTAGTTATTAGTATTATTATTATTATTAATTATTTAATTTATAGTAAATTGACATATTATCCTTTTATTTTATTTATTTTCTTATTTTTAAACTATTTAATTCATTTCAGTATGATGTATAGATATATTTATGTTCAATAAATTACACATCCATCCATATGGCCTAGTGGTTGAGCGGCTATTTTCTTCCTTTCCAACCCAAGTTCGAATCTTGTTGCCTGCATTTCGTAACATTTAGGTTTTGCACATAATTCAAGGGCAAAACAGTAATTTCCGCCACTTTGGGGTAAAAAAATGAAGAAAAAACCGCACACCACTTTCGTCATCTTAGACGGTTTAGGGTGTTTCGCGCATGCAAAATCTTAATAGAAGGGGGTCTGACGCAATTTTTAAAATACAGAGGGGAAACGCATACATGGGGGAAACGCGCAGATTTAGTATAATATAGGGAGATTTGGTGCATTAAACCCTTTTTTTTAATGTTCTTTGTTTAAAGGGAAAATGTAAACAAGTGGAATCAAACTAAGTTTGACAGACCATACAAGGGTGTGAAAGAGTCGAGCTAATTTATGATGCTCGATCTCGATTCTTTTATCAATATTAACAAGTCGAATTATAAAAAGTTACACAAAAAATTATTTTTTCAAACCTTAATGAGTCGAGTCGAGCCGAGCTGAGCTCACAAGTGACTTACTTTATTTAACAACTCTAGCCAAACAAAAATGAGACAAATTTGTTAACTAGTCAAACTAATAACAAAGCTCAAAGGTAGCTGTTTATCAAAATTAGCAAGTCGAATTTATAGGTTAACGAACCGAGTTAAGTCATAATTAAAAAAATCACATAAATATTTATTTTTTAAACATAATAAATTTTATCTAGTCAAGGCAGACACAAATCTTAACGTGTCGAGGTCAACACATAAATAGCTCGATTTTAATTTTTCACCTAATGAAACTTTAATTTTTAGTTGGATGGGGCAACTGATTCTTTCGTAGGGGAGCAAAAAGTTCCTTCTTTTGGGGAGGGTCGATTGTCTTCAACGAAGATTTCAATTCCTTTCTAGTGAAGGTTCGGTATTGTAGTGTGTGTTTCGTCGTTTTGCTCTTTACCATATGCACTCGACCTCTGCAACTTCAGCTCGATTTTCAAATGTGGCAATGTCCCCACGCCATATGCCAAACTAAATGGGGCTTCTCCGGTGATCAACCTCGGGTTGTCCTATATGCCCAAAGAACAAACGTTAGCCCATCGACGCATGCATATGAGGTTTTCTCCAATCTAGTCTTCAAGCCGTTTAGTATGATCCTATTTGTGACTTCGACCTTACCGTTGGCCTGCAGATGAGCGATTGATGCAAAATGTTGATCAATCTTTATGTCTTCGCACCTGGCTCTAATCTTCTTTCCATTAAATTGTGTACCATTGTCCAAGGCCAAAACATTGGGCACTCCAAACCGCAATAAATATTACTATAGAGAAAATGAATGACCTTATCTTCCGTGATTTTTGCCAATGGCTCGGCCTCGATCAACTTGGTAAAGTAGTCCGCAACAACAATTAAGAATTTTCTCTAACTAGACCCCTACAGCATAGGTCCTACCAGGTCGATGCGCAATGGGTAGGTCGTTGCCCCATTGCGCGAACGGAATCGAAGCACTCGTCATGGTTATCGTTTCAGCAGGTTGATGAAGAAGGGGACCATGTTTCAGCAATGTAAGCAATTTTATACCTTTGTCACTGCATCAGCTCGCATTGTCGGCCAAAGGTAACCAACTCTTAGAATCTTTGCTATCAGTGACCCCACTTTGTTGTGGTCACTACGTACAGCACCTCGTGCGCCTCCGTTAGCGTACATGCCCTCTTCCACTATTACGCACCTCAAGTGGGACATGACTACGACCTTTTCTACATGATCTCACCCTGCTCAAAGAACCTCTTAACATACTTCAAAATCCTTTCCTCCAACTCTCGCAGGATGGAAGTTCTCCAATATTCGACCTCCTGGATTTCGGCCACCTCTTCAGCACTTTTTTCCACGTGTAGCAAAGTAATACTTCTGCTTTTGTAGTCTACCTCTCCTCCTGCCTTGGAATTTGAATCAAGTCGAACGAGCTGAATTCTTCTGTAACGCCTTGACCTCATCGACGTCCCTTTACAATCTCTCTTCTTTAACCTCGAATCCACCT